TAAATCAATTCCACTAGCATTTTGATAATATACTCTTTCTTTTCTTCCTTCCTCTCCCTTCCTCCCTCCCTTCCTTCCTTCCTTCCATCAGTCTGTCCGTCCTTCCTTCCTTCCATCCTTCCTTCCTTCCTTCCTTCCTTCCTTCCTTCCTTCCTTCCTTTCTTCCTTTCATATTAGTTACCTTTTCATCCCTATGACAAAATACCTGACAGAGAAATAGAAAGAAGGAAGGTTTTATTCTGGCTCACAGTTTGAGGGATACAGTCCATCATGTCAGGGAAGACACAGCAGCAGGGGCCTGGAGCGTGGCTCAGGAGATGGCTGCCATATCTGCATTTGGGAAGCAGAGAGAGATAAATGCTGGTGTTCATCTGCTCACTTTCTCCTTTTTACTCAGTTTGGACTCCCAGCCTACAGGATGGTGCCGCCCACATCAGGGTGGGTCTACCGACCTCAGTTAAAACTCTCTGGAAAATCCTTCACACTCACACCCAGAGTTACTCTAAACTAGAGTTACATTGCTGGGCTGCCTTGTCATCATTAAGGGTTTCTTCTTCTTCTTCTTCTTCTTCTTCTTCTTCTTCTTCTTCTTCTTCTTCTTCTTCTTCTTCTTCTCTTCTTCTTCTTCTTCTCTTCTTCTTCTTCTTCTTCTTCTTCTTCTTCTTCTTCTTCTTCTCAGTTTTTTTGAGAACTCTAGGTGAGGAGGCTGGTGTTCCTGAATCTCAATAACTTCTGGAGTCAGTGGCTTCCTTGCCCCTCAGACACGGTATCTCCATTCTTCCTCTGGCTCTGGCATGGAGATCCCAAGTCGGGACAGTCTCAGAGCCGTGCATCACTCCTCATCATCCCTGGCTCCTCTCTGCCTACTTTGCTTTTCTTGGACCAAGATGCGTTTTCAAGTGGCTCCTTCCCAGCTCCTACTGACCTTCATTTGTGATGAATGGCTGAGAGGAACACATCTCTGCACCAGAGAGTCTCAAGGAAGAACACCATATGGAGTGTGGCTCTGCTCCTCAGCGCGGTTGTTCTAGGATGGGTTTCCACCAAGGGCCATCTGGTTGATTTCTCAGGTCACTGGGAAGTGTGACATAGAGAGGGCTGTGTCTACCAGGTTGTCTGGAGTTGCTCTGAGACAGGGTGGGTGGAGGCCTTTGCTAAACTGGCTTGCGGAATGTAAACTCATCAGCTTGTGTGCTGGGCTGGGAGCCCTGATCCAATGTGCTTATTGGCGACTTCTCCAAGGCAGGAAAGGGAAGGCAGTTAGTTCCTCAAGAGTGCAAACACATTCTGCTCCCCACAGCCAAGAGCGCCACATGGCAGACCTCCTCCATGCTCCTGAAAAGGAAGCTTTTTCTATTGTGTCTTAGTTTGCTCCCATTTAAAAAGAGAGGTACACTGGATAGTTTTTTTTTCCAACTTGACAGAAGCTCTAGTCATCTGGGAAGAGGGAGCCTCAACTGAAGAAAAAGCATTACTCCATCAGATTGGCCTGTGAGCAAGTTTGTGGGACATTTTCTTGAGGGTGGTGCCGTGGGACAGTTTGTTTGTGCTGTAACAAATAAAGCTGCCTGGGGAGCAGAGTGTGGAGCTAGCCACCAGTTAGCCATAGGGGCCAGGCAGTGGTGGCACACACCTTTAATCCCAGCATTTAGGATCTTAGGCCTTTTATCCCAGTACTTGGAAGGTACATGTCTTTGACCCCAGTACTTGGGAGGCACAGACCTTTAATTCCAGCACTAGGGAGAAGGAAACAGGAAGTAATATGGCCGGGCCCAGAGAGGAATATAAGGCAACCAGAGACAGGAGCTTGCCCCTTTCAGGCTGAAGAGCTGGTGAGGTAAGAAGTAGCTGTGGCTGCTCCTTTGTCTCTCTGATCTTTCAGCATTTACCCCGATATCTGACTCCAGGTTTTTATTATTAAGACCAATTAGAATTCACAATACATGGTGTCTTCTCCTAGGCAGGCATTTCCTGAATTATAAAATGAACAAACAAACAAAACAACAACAACAACAAAAAGACACACACTGAGTGAGTTATGGAGAACAAACCAGTAAGCAGTGTTCATCCACAGTCACACTTGAAGTTCCTGCTTCCAGGTTCCTGCCTTGACTTCCCTTCCTGATAGACTGTAAGCTAAAATAAATCCTTTTCTCCCCAGGTTGTTTTTGGTTGGTTTGGTTTTTTTTTTTTTTTCATGGTATTTATTGCAGCAACCAAAAGCAAACAGAAACAAGGAAACTGGGCAAGGTTTTTGCAAACGTTTCTGTGCTAAATTTGGGAGCCTATGTACATTTCAGCACCTGTACTTGCCTTTTACAATGAAGGCCGAATATCTAGAATATTCTTTCCAGAACATCTGGTTGGTCACGGTGCTCGCCTGCTTAAAACACACCCGTGCTTCAGGTAGAGCGTAACTTTCCTGACTAGATGTCTGTGGCCCACAACACCTGTATGTGTGGTTTCACCTCCTTTCCTCTCAGCCCTCTGCATTTCGGTCACATGGGACCATGTGACACTTCTTGTGGCCCTTGGAGCCCTGGGAATGCTGTCTTGGAAGTGATAAGGGCATTTTATAGCCTTGTTATCTTATGATAAGAACTTGTTTGTGCATTGTTCTGTAGGAAAGACATCTATCTACACATCAGCGAGAGGTTTGTTCTGAGTTAGCTTTTCATCTCCATGACATCCAAAGTGTGGTGTAGTCGTTTCTTTTCCCACCTCTGTGATGAAAATACCCTGACCAAAGCCAGCAAAGGGAGAAAAGGTTCATTTAGGCTCACAGTTCAAGGATGCAGTCCATCAGCAGGGAAGTCAAAGCAACAGGATCATGAGGCCGCTGGTCACATAGCAACCACAGTCAGGAATCACAGAGAGAGAGAGAGAGAAAGAGAAAGAGAGAGAGAGAGAGAGAGAGAGAGAGAAGAAGAAGAAGAAGAAGAAGAAGAAGAAGAAGAAGAAGAAGAAGAAGAAGAAGAAGAAGAATGCTGATACTTAGCTCTTTCTGTATTTTATGTAGCTAGGATCCAAGGCCAGGGACAATGCTACCCTCCTTCAGGGGAGACTCCCTACTTTAATTAACCCAAGGGAGACAATCCCCCACCAGTGTACCCAGAGGCTAACCTAATAGGAATTATCTCTCACAGGTGTTCCTGGAGGCATGCCTCTTGGATGGTTCCAGATTCCATCAGGTTGGCAGGCAACACTAAGAGTCACAGGTGGGCAGGCTCAGGAGGAATACAAGGTGGCCTTAGTGTGCTGGAACCTTTCCCCATTTACACAGAGAGATGGGACCCTCAGGGGGAAACAGCAATATCATAACGCTCAGAGATAAGACTGACCACTTGGTCAGAAGATGCTGTGGAATAATCCTCTTGTACACCGTAAAGATTTGTCACGTGAATTGGTTTAATAAAAAACAGTGATTGGCCAGTAAAACAGCCAGGCAGGAAGTTCAGGTGGGACAACCAAACTAAGGAGGATGGGAAGGAGAAGGGCGGAGTCTGGAGTCTCCAGCCAGATGCAGAGGGAGCAGGAGATGAACATGCCATGCTAATAAAGGTATCGTCACATGGCAGAGCATAAGTAAGAATTATGGGTTAACATAAAATGTAAGAGCTAGTTAATTATAAGCCCGAGCAATTGATTGAGCATTTATGATTCATAGTCAGCCTTTGAATTGGTTATTTGGGACCTGGCAGTTGGGATAGGATACATCCATTTACAAGAAGGTCAAGGCTAAACTTGGGAATGGCCGACTGCCTATGTTTGCCCACCACGATAATCCTCTGGCTAAAGAAAGAAGGAAGACAGAACCTTAGAATGCGACCGCACTGTTCTCAGATTGTTAGCTCCCTGAATAAGACAGTTTAAAGATTCAATTCCTGGTGTTTAACTTTGTATCAGGTGGCTCAGACCCAGATATAAATATAAAACTTCTTGAAACTTCTTTCTTGTCCCTTCCACTGGGCCACATTTTCTTTGCCCTTTGGAGATCAGCTTCAAAACCACTGTTATCTGGAGAAATCTCACTTCCTCCAGGTCTGGAGGAGACTGATACAACGAGCCAGCTAGTCTAGTCAAAACCTAAATGAGGAACTTCAGCTTCAAGGAATGACTCTTTGTCAAGGAATTAAGGTAGAGTGGACAGAGGAAGGCATCCTCTGGCATCCTCCTGTGATCTTCTGACATACACTGTGCAGAACAAATAAGGAAAGGCACATCTCCTGCTGAATTACAAGATCATACCTGTCCCCTGATCTGACACAGTGTCAGACATGCAGGCAGTGTTTGTCACTGGAACCACTTTTAAGATGCCCCTCTGCTGCCCAGACAACACTGCCTGCATCTCCCTCCTTGGAAGCAGATCTCCCTCCTTTGGATGCTGTAGTAAATAGACCCAAACTGTGTCTCCAAACTGTGGTCATCCCACCTTCCAAAATGTCCTTCTATTTCTCAGGACTTGGAATCGAACTCTATTTGTGCCCTGCCATCTCACACGCCTCCCCAAGTGGCCTGTTATCTTTAGAACGTGCTGGAAGTCACACGGACCTTTCCCGTTTGTTTCATCTTAGAAACATAGCCAAGCACACACAGCTCGTTTTAGTTGGATCCTGGCAAGATGACTTCCTGTTCCCATTCAGTCAATCATCCCCCATCTTTGGCAGGAAGGAGAGCATGCAGTTCCGCATGTGCCAACCCCAACATATTTCTAATTTCATCATGGCTCGCTGTGTGCCGCCTCGGTCATAGGATTCTAAGATGATATAAAAAAAAGTGTGTGAGAGTATTTCACAGCCAGGACTAGGAACTCACAGACTGGAGAGCGCCGGGGTGATAGAAATAAGGCCAGAATTCTGTATGAAAGAGGCCTTGCTATTGGGAGGTGTTGCCAGGGTCAAAGTGCTGGGACGCTGGGTACCACAGTGCTAAGTGATAAGAGGCATCCCTCTTCCCCTTCTCTTACTCTGTGTTCATTTCCCTCTTTTTTTTTTTCACAGTTCAATTCCATCCCTTTCGGTTCTGTTCTCAGCTGGCTTTTGGTGTTCCACTCCGTATACCAAACTGGTACAGTAGTAACCTGTTATTATTAATAAATGGCTCGACGGGCAGGATGCAAGCGAATTGTATTCGTGTGCCTGCAGTACTGTGCAAATTCCCTAGTCCCGAGAACTGCATCCATCAGCAGGTTGGTTTGGGTCTACAACCTTGGCCCCAGTTTCCTGCTACAGTCATATGTTTCCCGTCCTCTGAGAATTTCAGAGTTCTAGAGCTAAGATTTGGGTTCCAGGTATATGTTTACTCTATCTCTGAGATGGGGAGAAAGGGCTTGTCATGCAAGCATGAGGACCTGAATTCAGATCCCCAGCACCCATGCAAAAAAACAGTGCATAGCTGTATTCCCAGCACTGGAAATGCAGAGATAAGAGGACTCAGCCACAATGAAATGGCAAGCTCAGCTAGGCTTCTCTTGCATGAAACTGATGTTAGCATCTGGCCTATCAGGCTCTCTGTGCTGAGAAGTACCTTGTTGATAAACAGATCACCCATGTTATAGATTATGAAATCGATACCCAGAGAGGCCGAGCTACTTTCCCTGAATTGCACTGCTAAGCAATGAAAGCTAGGGGGAAGACTAAGAGTAGCTAGATGCAGACAAGAAAGAGGAACCATTTTGCTGACAATTTCTGCTTATTCTATTGTGTAGCCAAAAGTATCCCAGGATCTGCTCTGTCTTCTAAGGCTTGTCTCCCCCTGCCACCCGCCGCACCGCCCCCTCCCGCATCTGCATTCTCTGATCTGCTATTGAGGACAGATCTATCAGAAGGGGCTGGTCCTTTCTAACCATAATGCTGGGCATCTCTTCTCCAGAGCTGCGACCTTGGAAGAACGCCACCCTTTCTTGACCTTGCTGTTCCATCTGGTTCCATGAGGATTATAGGGGAATTTTTAACAGGATTGATAATGGATGGGCTCTCAGGGTAGAGAATTCAATAACCACAGAGCAAAGAAAGCAGCGTGATGTCTGTTGGCAGGAGAGCTTGGAAGGGACATTTGTCAGGCATCTGCCCAGAGGAGACCGTGGAGTGTTGGATATGGCCAGAGAGGGGCTCTCTTCCCTTGCTGCTCAGCCAGTCCTCAGTGAAGTGCCTACCCCAATACAGCAAGCGCTGGCAGCACAAGCTGGGGCGTCCGTCTTTGAACCTCAGCGCCCCAGACTGGTCTGTCTGGTCAGGCCGCACCTTGACCTTGGGAAGATCTGATGCCAAGCCCCTGGAAGCCTATGCAACAGATGGCCTGCCACATGGGACATCACAGGGGACATCACACAGGGCAGCAAATTTTACCCTGCCTCAGCTACTAGCGGGATAGGATGCTCAGCTTGCTTCTGCAGGGCGCGACTCCTTCCTGTGGCTGCCTCTCATCCAGCAGGAGCAGGCCAGGGCCGAGGGGGTTCCTAGCACTGCCCAAGGCAGGAGGTGGGCATCTGAAGCCATGGCCTCCCTTCCTGCTGAGAGTTCTCTGGGACCTCTCCTCCCACTTTGTCCAGATGGTTTACCTATATCCACCACCACATTTCCGATGTCACTGCCTTGTGTCTCCTGAGCCCCCTCCTCTCCTAACCCCAGCATCTGCATTCTTCACTCCACCAGTCCTGACAGGAATAGGTCCCCAGGGCTCTTTCCAGACCTTGGGCTGCAGAAAGGATTAACAAGAATTTTCCAAGTTCTCCTTCCTCAAAGAGACAACCTTTGGGCCGGACCCAGAATCAGAATCAGCATCTTTTTTTTTTCTTTTGATCTAACATTTATCAAGAGTTTACTACACTCTGGAAAATGTCAGGTTGCTTTATATCCTCACTCTCACTAGCGACAGGGAAACATATTCCGGCCTTCTCTCTTTTCTTTTCTCTTTCTTTCTTTCTTTCTTTCTTTCTTTCTTTCTTTCTTTCTTTCTTTCTCTTTTTTTCTACCCCTACCCTGTTCTTATTTGTAGATGACCATGAACCAAAGAGTCAGAACAGCCTCCTTGGCTCTGAGCCTTGAATACAGGTCACTTACATATCAACTCCACCTTCCCATTCTTGGCTGGTCCTCCTGGATTTCTCTGTGATGCTGCTGGTCCAGCGTCATAGTAAAACAGACAGGGCAGCTTAGGTACTCACCACTCGTAGCTTCAGAGGCTGAGAATCGAGGGTCAAAGCTTTGGCTGGTTCAGCAAATGGTGGTGGCCCTCTTCCTGATTAGTACGGAGGGCCTTTTTACTGCCTGTGCTGGCTAGTCTTGATTATCCACCTGACCGGATGTAGGAAAACCATGGGCATAAACCTCTGGGTGTGCTTATGAGGCCATTCCCAGGGAGGTCTAACGGAGGGGGGAAGGAAGACACCCCCTGAATGTGTGTGTGGGGGTGCTATTCCACGGTCTGGGGTCCTGGAGGAAAATGGAGATAGTCAGCTGAGCATCAGCATCCCTCTCTCTCTGCTTCCTGACTGTGGAGGCGATGGGACCAGCTGTCTCACGGTCCTCTCTGACAGACCGTCATCTCAAACTGTGAGCCAAAATGAGCATTAAGTCGCTTCTTATCAGGTATCTTGTCACAGTAATGAGAAGAGTGAGGGATCCTGTACATCAAATCTCTCTTTCTCTTCCTCCTTTCCTTCTTCACCCTCTTTTATACCGTCACTATCCCATCCTGTGGGGCCCTATCCTTCGGGCCTTGTATAACTCTCCTAAATTTCCTGCCTAAAGCTGCATGCATCTTCAAATTCCAGCACGCTGGGGTTGGGACAGACAGGGAGCCTTCAGGAGATGAGTGGGGACAGGCCATAACTGAACCCACAGTGCCGCAATTACGTGAAGGAGTCTCAGCTGCTGTTGCCTAAGAAGTTAAGGGGTGAAGGAGAAAGGTGGACCTCCCTCCTCCTGATAGAAGACAGACCTGAGCCCACTGTCTGTATTGTCTTCTTAATACTTAAAATGAGTCCACCTAATCAGGCCACTCCAGCTCTCGGATCCGCTTCCTGCCCTTATAAGACTGACCATGACTGTAGCGCGCTCCTCACAGTAGAAGGAGCTCTCACTTTGGGTAGGTCAGTGGTCTCTGGTTGGCATCTGGGGCACACTCAAATGAGAATCAAAGAGCATTGGAGGAGTCCGGGTCCATGATCAGATGGTGGGCACCCATAATCCTTCAGTGGTGGGCACTCTGATGTCTGCGGAGAGAGCTGGACTTATAAAGCTGGAGTTGGTGTTAGATTGCCCACTTTCCAGCTCACCTTAGAACCTGACCCCAGGGACCAGCGGACATGAGACCAGGTCACCACGGGAAGCCTAGCTTGGGAGGGGAACTTTCAGGTTCATTCTCCTCCGCAGTTTCCCAACCAGGGTGGAAATTCAAGGTTTAGATTAAAACCAACAATTAAAATGTTACTTAATCTTGATAACTGAGAGAAATCTGTTAGAGGTGCTGAGGCCTCTCAGGGTTTTCCTGTATGTGCACACGCATGTGTGTGTGTGTGTGTGTGTGTGTGTAAGCACACCCGTGCATGCATGTGTGTGTGTGTGTGTGTGTGTGTGTGTGTGTGTGTGTAGGCCCCAGGTCAATCTTGGGTGTCATTCCTCATGGGCCACCTTGTTTCACAAGAAGAATTTTGTTATGTTTGAAGACAGAGTCTCTTGTTTCCCATGCTGGCCACCAACTCTCCATACATAACTGAGGTCAACCTTGAAATCCTGAGCCTCCTGCCTCCACCTCTCAAGTGCTGGGCTCACAGGTGCCCAGTACCACACCCAGTGCATGCTGTTCAGAAGAGGGAATACGGGGCTTCAGCTGGGCAAGCACTGAAGCAAAGGAGTCAGGTACCCTGCACCTGCTCAAGTAGCTCACCTGGCTTGAAGCTCTCTAATTAGACCAGGCTAGCTCCCCACAAAGCCCCACAGTTCTCCTGTGGTCATCTACCCTGCACTGCGATAATGAACATGTGACATCACATTGACTATTTTCTGTAGATCCCGGGGCTCAACAACCCCCCTCCCACCTCGGGCCTCCTGGCACAACACAGTGTTTGTCAAACAGAATGTTTGTGGTTGGCCCTTCCCACAGGAGCACTCTGCATTCTTCTGTTCTTCTCACCTTTATTGTCTTGGTTTGTTTGTTTGTTTGTTTTGGATCATGCTTGGTGAAATTCAAAGTTGGATTCACATGAAGTTTAAATTTTAAAAATCTATTGTATTATTACTAAGTGTGTGTGTGTGTGTGTGTGTATGCATGCACATGTGTGTGCCACGGCAAGCCCAGAAGGTGCAAGGTCAGAGCACATTCTTACAACTTTCCGGAGTTAGTTCCCAGCTTCCAAAGAGTCATCAATTCACGTCATCAGATTTGCGCAACCAGAGTTTTTTACTCAGGGAGGCAACTCACCCACCCGAATGTAAAAGTGATGTGCAGATCCGTGGACAACATGGAGTAGGGTCAATGCAAGCAGCCCCCTGGATGAGAGCTGCCTTGTGTTCTGAGGACAAGGGTCGTCTGCTTCTCAGAACCAGGACATGCATGAGGATATTGATACGGATTTACCTCAGACTGCATCTGCTGGTTCCCTTCGTTTTACAGATGGGAATGCTGAGCGCAGCAGGGAGTCCAGTGGGACCTGGAGAATTACAGAAAATGATCAGGATCGGAGCGGGGAGGGTTTTCGTGGAATTGAATTATTTATAAGCCAATCAGATGCCTGACCTGGAATTCAACTCAAAACTGCGAAGGTTTTGGGAAGAGGGCGACAGATTGGGTTCCTGGCTTTTCCTCCTGGAGCTGTCAGGAAAACAGTTGGTTTCAGATCTGCCCAGATAATCAGTGAGGGACCCTCAGCAGGATAGCCTTGGCAAGCCCGACTGTTGCCAAAATCCTGCTTTGCTAAGGCCGGAGCTACTCACTAGCTTTTCCAGGGACCCATACTGGGAAAGACAGTTGCCCACGAACTCCTCAGCTTTAACCCTGTGCTGCTTGTGTTTTCCCCCCTGTGGGTAATTCTGGGCCTTGATCATGGAGGGGCACCATCATCCAGAGACTAAAGCAGGCTGGTTCTCTTCAGTGAAGGGGTCAAGAATGTCCTCTCAGCCCTGGACTTTTATTGTGTCACAAGCTCAGCCCAGAAATGCCAACTGTCTCAATGTAGAACAGAAGCCC